TATATACTATAACAATATCTAAGAGTGTTTTTTAAACTGATCTTCTGTATTTTAGCTTACGTAATCGTTTTTCCTCTCTTTCTATAACTTACTTATTTTTATTATAATCCTAGAACAAGTAATAATGCTATAAGCACTGTGATTTTTTGTAGACTTTATTGTGTTCTGTAGATATTCGCTGGTATTAGTTTACACAATTTTAGATTTACAATTATGTTTCTTAAATGAAAAACTTTCTTGAAAACATAATTTTTGGAAATCACCCCCTCTTCCAGCAAAGAGGCATTGTAAATTTGGTCCCATATTACGAATAAAATAAATCATTTTATGCTTACATATTGCAAGCTATGCATAACTTTATTCTATATATTACCAAGATCCTTCCCAGTGTCTAGGCTGGGATCATATCGATACCCTCTCATGCTGTGATACAGGTATTTACTTGCTAATTTTGCTAAAACAGTTTATTAAAACGCAGAGGGTACTAATGACACACTAAGTGTGGTCCCCATGTCTAACCAGGGAATTCTTTGAGTCCCTCCCCACTTTTGTACACTGTCACGTTCACAACATTTTCCCCAATTTCTTCCATTCCCACCTGGCTTACTTTTAGAGCTATAATTACATAAATTTGATGCTCCTGCTTTGACACCAGTTGCACTCCGTACCTGTGATGGCACATGGCGGCAGCTTGACAAAGGTTCACGTTAGTCTCGCTTATCAGTGCAGCTTGTTTGAAATCCTGAAATAATCATTTAAGTTCTTGTTAATTTTGCAACATTACTTCATGCACTTTCTTAAATTTCCTTCTAACTTTGACTCCACCATGAATATACGTAACACAAGCATTAAAATATACATCTTTCTACAACTTTCTTTCTTCTTTATAATATCACATCGAGTAAGAATGGCTGAGGCAAAGGAAACCCATTATTGTAAACTCATTCAGAATCTTGTGTTAATTGTCTCCAGTTCAAGAATAGGGACTTTACCTGTGGTTTTTGCCCTTCTATGTGTAATGAGTTATCTCATTTACTTTCTTTTTACTGTTTATTCCCAGTGAACACCACCAAAGACTTCTCTGTCTAGATATAAAAGGAAATGCACCTGGACAGAACCTTGGGAGTATAAGACTATACAACCAACTGGCACCCAGGCAAGGGAAAGGACGTACTAGGCCTTCTGCGTAGATTAGCTAAGGCTGCTCCTACCTCTGGAATCCACACTTCTGGTGAGAAGGCATCCAAGGATTCAAAAGGCCTCCTGAGAGGGAGGAATGGAAACTAACCCCAAGATTTGAAGTTAGGGAAGTCAGCTGGAAAGGATCTGAACGGCCCTCCGGAAGAGGCTGTTTAGAAGAATTAAAAGTGCTGAATCTGTAAGAGATCCTGCCACAGTGGCTCAGGGCACTCTCCTCTATTAGACACCAGAGACAGTGCCTGAAGCGTATAGCTTTTCAACACATCCTACAGAAATATTTGAGACGAGATAAAATAAGGACATCACTAAACTTAAATTAATAAAATATTTAAATAAATATCTACAAACAAAATATCATGTTGACTGCAATGTGCTATATCTACATGAGATGTAAATTGATTTTAAGGATTGCTATAATGTGAGAAGAGGCCTTCTAAAAGTAAGAGTCTAGAACGTACAACAGAATAAAAATGGCTCTACTTTTTCCTGCAGGACTTGCTTCAACAGGAATCTTCAAGGGCAGTTTTGGCTGTGGTCTCACGTGCTCGAGCTAAGCAATGGGGAGGACTGCACTCTTCCCTCCAGTGGCAAAAGGAAATCTCTCCAGGCTTCCTTCTGGGAGGCCAGACATCAGCACTGCAGGGCCCCATAAGGCACCGCCCAATGAGAGAGGCACTAACCATAACTCCTCTCTCCTTTGTCCTTCCTCCTTCCGAAAGAGCCCTCCTTGGTGTATGGGAGGGAAGAGGCTGGCTGTCTTAGCGAGGTGGGATGTGTTTTCGGCTGCTACAAGGGTGGAAGAAGGAGTCGTGGGGTCAAGCTGAGTACTCTGGGGTCCTGCTGGAGGAGGAGCCATTCGTCACAGACCAACCTGTAAACGTGGGCTCTCCTCTCAGATTTGAGAAGCATGTTTTGATACTAAATGAAACTATTTGCAAGAAAATAGAAATATGTATTGCCTAATCAAATAAAATCTAATCAACCATGCTTCCAGATATCTCTCCACGAGGGATTTTTTTGCTAAAAAGGAGGCAAACTTACAAATGTGAGATTTATTACAAACATTCCCATTAATTTAGGAAGTTTCAAGGAATGACCATATAATTCAAAAGGCTGAGAACACCAAATTTAGTTTTGTAATCAGATGAAATTTACAAAAGTCAACTTGACTGTATATACATAATCATTATAATGCTATGTGGGAATTAGGCATTAATTATCAGCAATAGACATAAATGATGACTTTTAGCATTACTTAGAATAAAGCTAGCCACTATTTTTGTGACTTTTCCGTCCTGCATTAATTCTCTCTCTAATATGAGGATGAAAATAACAAACCACACAAAGTTATCCATGCACAATGCAAATTCCCTCTGTTCCCATCCCCTCCCCTGATGACCTTCACCCCCAGGATCTTCCTTTCTGTGTCAGAGGGGGCTCTTGGCCTCACTCCTTCGCATCTCCTCTGGAACCTTGCTCTATCATATTCCTGCTGTCTCCTGCACCTTTAATCCTTGTCTCACTGCCCCAACCACCATGCCTTGCCTGACTCCTGTGTGCCCAGAAAACGAGTGGCCACGTCTTTCTCATTCCTGTTACTGCCAGTCTCCTTGAGAGCACACAAGGAGTTCCACACCAAAAAACTGTCATTCACTAAACTATTCTTGTTGTTTAAGTGTTGTTTAAGAAGAGTGATTGTATTTGTATTTTGTAAACTGGCTCTAAAGACATTTTTATTTATTTACTTTTATTCTTATCAAAGTAATCCATGTATACAGTGTATAGGGACTGATAATGCCCAGTGATCCCCTGTTCCACCTCTCCTTACCCTGAGTCCCACTCCCCAAAAGCAATCTTTTTTACAGCTTACTGTTATTTCTTCTGCTATTTACCTTCAGATTTCTAAATAACATGAATGTTGTATCATATTTAACTTTATGGTACAACTGTTCACTTCCTGCGTAGAATGGAATTTAGCTGTTTCACACCAGCACTCCACACACTGACCCTTCCCATCAGCCCTATAAACCTATGACACTTTGTTTGTTTTAGTCTCTATTTTACTTCCCTTCAGTGTCTGATGCTTGGCTACCCATTCATATTTAATTCTGAGGCATGAAAATCCAGAATGGTAGTTTGGGATACCCGAATATCTCTTCACCATTATCTTTAAACTTCCGGAATTGTATCTTTTTTATTCCTTTGCAATTATCATGGTAGAATTTCAAGAGGGAAAAGCGATAAACAAATGTTCTAAATTTATTAACTTCTAGTTAATTTAATCATTAACTTCTCAAACAATTCCAGTCTAAATGATCAAGGAGCTCCCTGATCAAGGTGCTCCTATGAAGGGCATACAGCTCTCAGTTAACTGATCTGTTTTCAGCACTTATGCTACTTGACCTCTCAATTAATCAATCCTTCCCATTAATTTTTTTC